ATATTATATATGTTGTTGTTGTTATGTGCCGTTGAGTCAGACCCGACTATTAGTGACTCCCGTTATTATATATATATATATATATATATATATATATATATTTATTTATTTATTATAACTTTTACATCTGTGTTTATAAAGGTATAAAAGAAATGGGCTATGGTGGTACAATGGTAAAATGCTCTGCTTCTCACCAAAAACATATTAGTTGAAACCCACACAGTGGCTTTGAGGGACAAATACTTGGCGATCTCTTCCTGTGGAGATAATAGCTTAGAAAATCCAATGTGACAGTGTGACAGTCCTATTCTGTCATATGTGGTCCCTATGAATAAAAATAAGGAGCTCTAGTATGAATGAAAATAGACTATATGGCATCCAACAACAACAATGACAAAATGATTCATACGGGATATTTGCCTGTGTTTTATTTTCTTGTCGTGTATTTGTTAGCACTGGTATCATGGTAATATGGCTTCATTGAATGAATTAGAGATTACTGGATTATTATTTCCTCCTCTAACTTTTGGAAGAGTTTGAAAAAGAGTAGTAGTAATTCTTCTCTAAATTCTGGTAGAATTTTCCAGTTAAACCATTTGGTCCATGACATTTATTTTTGAGAGGTTTGTGGTTGCTGATTCAAGTCCTACATTTATTATGGGTTTGTTGAGATTTTCACATTCCTCTTGAGTGAATTTAGGTAGATTGTATGTTTCTAAGAGTTAATCTATTTCATCTAAGTTCTCAAAACATTCTGCAATAATTCATTTTATACTCATAGGGTCATTTTTAAAGTTTTCACTTTCAGTTTTAATTTTCATTATTTCTATAATTTCTCTTTTTTTCTCTGTCACCCTGTTATTGCAGTTATGTGCTGTTGATTTGATTCTGAGTCATAGTGATCCAATAGAAGGGTAGAATTGTTCCGTAAGATCTCAAAGGTTGAAATCTTTATGGAAGCAGATAGTCTAGGTTTTTTTTTTATTTGTTTGTTTTTCCCCCTGCAAAGTGGCTGGTGAGTTTGAACCATTGACCTTTCAGTTAGCTGCTGAACACTTAACCATTATGCTGCAAGGGCTCCTTTTTGTCAGCTTAGCTAAAGCTTTTTATTCAATTATATTGATCTTTTTAAAGAACTAAATTTTGGTTTTAGTAATTTTCTCTGTTATTTGTCTGCTTTTGAGTTAACTTATTTAAACTCAGAGAACTGAGCCCACTGTTACAGCCAGTGTACAAATCAGTCCCTTTAAGAGTCATCTTCTTCTTCTTCTTTTTTTTTTTTTTTCCTGACACTTCTACTTTACAAAGCATGATACCCTTCTTTAGATGAAGGTCTCTCTTGGTAACATGACAAAAGTCCAAGAGATAGTCTTGCCATCCTTGTTTCTAAGGAGCATTCCACTTATACTTCCTCCAGGACAGATATTTTTGTTCTTCTGACAGTCCATAGTAAATTCAATATTCTAACCACCTCTGTCTCGTCTGTCAAAGGCATCAATTCTTCTGTGTCCTTCCTTATTCATCTTTCAGCTTTCACATGCATATGAGGCTAATAAAAAAGGTCATCTCTTCAGTCAGGAATTTGAGTCTTCAAAGTGATGTCTTTTGTCTTTAAAATATTTAAGAGGACTTTTCCAGCAGATTCATCCAATGCAACAATGCAATGATTTCTTGACTGCTGCTTCAATGGGCAACATTGATTATGCTTTAAGTCCTTCAAGAAAGGTTGTGTCATTTGTGTATCACAGATTGTTAATGAGTTTTCCTCTCATCCTGATACCGTGTTCTCCTTCATATAGTACAGTTTCTCAGATTATTTGCTAAGCATACGAATTGAATAAGTATGGTGAAAGAGTGCAGCCCTGACACATACCTTTCAGCATTTTAAAACCTGTAGTATCCACTTGCTCTGTTCTAATTTCAGCAGAATAAAGCTAAAGGATAACTAAAACACATAATCTCTAAAATCACATTACTCTCTTGTTTTAAATCATTATCATCTTCATTATTACCATTGTCTTTATCAATATATTTTTAAAAAATGATATAATGTATGCAACAGAGACTTAATATTCTACCGATGGCATATCTTTACTAATATTTCTATATCATATCAATCTTTTCAAGAAATGTTCTGATGTTATTGTATAAATATTGAAGCAAATGCTTCAAAATGTTCCAAAATTTCAAAAAGTTCACTTTCACCAAAATGGTACACTGAGCAATTGATTTTTGCCATAATGAAGTGTTTTTGCATTGTGATAATGAAATAATTTCTAGACTTAGGACCTTCAGTGTAAATTGTCAAGTGTTTCTGTACCCAAATATGGATGGCCTTAAGGTGCAATTGCAAATGTTGGGAAATATACTGCAATATATGTCCACTCTTTTCTCCTTTCATTCCATATTATTCTTACAAGACAGTAGACACTAACAAAGGACAATTCATGACATTAATTACAATCTTTTTTAGGATTATAAATTATAAAAGCTGAAGAAGGCAATTGTTATTGAAACTTAGCATTTCTTCTTTGAATTGAAATTAATAGTTTGAAATAATTAAAAATCTTATTTTTAAACACATGGGATATGTCAAATGAAGTATGTCTGAAAGGTCAACTTGGAATATTGATGATATACAATGCCCTTTTCTTAACCTTGTCAAGCAAATCTCCTATCTTAATCTACACTTTCAATTCTCTATCTAACTCATTAATAGAAAGACAGATTGCCATTGCCATACATCTTTCTATGATGGTTTAAAATAAACTACTCTAGACTTATTTTTTTAAATCAAATATGTAGTTATTTGGTTATTTGGATTAAATATGATTTATGTTTTTTCTAACAAGCATAAGTTTGATGTCTAGATCTTTTTAGTACAGGTAAATTCAATCATGGGACCCTGTCATCCTTTGTCATATATGTCACCAAATTTTGTACTAGAATATTAAGTACAATTCAAAATCATTTGAGTGAATTGATGTCATCCATACCTACATATCTGGACTTGCCAAATTGCAAGTTATTTGTTTAAACAGATGACCGTTCAGAAATATTTCACGTGACATATTCTATGTATTTTAAAAATAAGATTTTTTATGACTTCAAACTATTCATTCCAATTCTAAGATGAAATGCTAAGTTTAATTAAAAACTTTCTTTTGCAGTTTTTATAATTTATAATCCTAAGAGAGATTTTAATTAATGTCATGAGCTGCCCAGTCAGTGTGTACTGCCTTGTGAGATATTCCTGCCATCCTATTTTTAAGTCTTTTATTTCAGTAGGTTGATACAGTTGATAAATTACATTGTATTCTATTACTGTAGAAGGGATATATACATTCTAATTTTATAACTCAGATGAGCTTTTGGTATCACTTAGTTTGAAAAGTCTCAATGAATTATAATTACTCATAACAATTAACTATACTCTAATTCATAAACACTGAACTGTTATACTTCAGTTTACTAATAATGTCTAAAATTGAAGCCCATCTCATTGTCTTTAAAAGTAGATAGTAGGATGGAGCTGATTTTTAGTAATTGGGAGGTTCAACATTCTGGGAAGCCTTGAGAGTCCTGGACTAATCACTTGATCGGGGTGCTATCTATTCTGCCTGTTTTCCTCAGGTGTTTGATAAACTGGAATGTATTTATCCAGATGCAATATTGCTAGTGGTGCAGTGAAAACAGAATAGTTGATATAGCCTCAAAGGATATCAGTAAAAGTAGAAGAAAACAATTTACATTAGCTTCAAAACTAGAGTAACCTTCTCAGGATAGGGAGATATAATTTTGGATAGCCATTAAGAAAACAATAATTAGCTAGTTTAAGATTCACACAGTAATTGAGAATCTGCTACATAAGATATTTGTTGAGTAAAATGGACTTACCTCTAAAATGCTGCCAACAAGAGAAAACACTCTGAGAATAAACATTTGCCAGCTCTTATTTGGTGTTAACTCTGTGGTTGTTACATGAAATGTTGGAGGGAGTATATCTAAACTATATTTGTAAATTTTGACATTTTCCTTTAAAAGAATATTTCTATTAGCATGTAAATAATTAATATCAAACAATGTAAGCAATGTCAATTTTAATAAAAGTTAACTTCAAAATATATTCTACAAATTAAATTAGTGGTCAAAAACAGTTCATGCAACACCCTAAATATAATGATGAGATAAGTAAATCTCTATAATTTTTCTAACACAACATAAGTGTAGTGGTAGATTGTAGTGGTAGATTATAATATTAATAACATTCATATAGTAAATAAAAATATGTAAATGCAAATATATATGAAATTTAAGGAAGAAATTATTAATTACATGATTATTGTATGATCTTCTTATATGTGTTTGAATTAGATAAAAATTGACTGAATTTTAAAATGTTGAAAATAGAATATAAATGCAAATATCTAGATTCTTTGACAAAGTATTTAATCTTTTATTGTATGAAATTAAGATCCCTGGTGGCCCAGTGCCTAAGTCATTTGACTGCTAACCAGAAGGCTGGTGGTTCAAACCCATCAGCCACTCCTAGGAAGGAAGATTGGACAGTCTACTGCTTTAGTGATCTCAAAACTCAAAACTTCTGTAGTGTAACTCCCTTGGAAACCCAAGGAGGGGTCACTTTGAGTCAGATACAACTTGACAGCAGTGAGGTTTTTTTTTTTTTTTGGTTCATGGCAAAGGACCAGCCACCATTCTTTTCTGTAATACATATGAATGCCATGAGTCAGAGCTGACTATGGGAACTAACAACAAGAACAATAGTAGATATTATAAGAAAACTGGAGTAATTTACGTAGACATAGAATTTTAGAGCTTCCTATAATCTGGGAGAAATGCATTCTACCTCACATAGATTAAAAAATAAAATTAAATAAATCAATTAAATGGAATTAAGTTATATATCTAGTAATATTAAAAAGGTTCTTACTTTAGAATGAGAAAGAAAAATTGAATATTTTGATTTTATTTCACTTTCACTACTTTCTATTTCCACTATGTTTCCACAAGAGTTTGTGCAGAGTTGCCTTAATTTCTTTGTTCCTGAGGCTATAGATAATAGGGTTCAGGGTGGGAGGCAGGACTGAATACAACACAGACAGCAACAAGTCCAGGAGAGTAGGAGACTTAGGCACTGGCTTCATATAAGCAATGGCTCCTGTTAGAAGAAAGGTGGTCACGACTATGAGATGTGGTAGGCAGGTAGAGAAGGCTTTTGACCGGCCTTGTACAGATGGAATCTTTAACACTGTGTTGAAAATATAGACATATGAGAAAACAATGGCAACTAAACAAAATAAACCATAAAATATTCCAATTGCCACACTAACATTAATAGTTATATGTGATTTTGAACAAGAGATCTTTAATAATGAGGGGACATCACAGAAAAATTGAGGGAGGTTTCTGGAACCACAAAAAGATAAAGAGAATGTTCCAGCTGAATATAAGCTTCCAAAGAATCCTCCAAGGAACCAAGAGGCAGCTGTCATCGATAGACAGACTCCTCTGCTCATGATGACCTCATAGTGCAGTGGATGACAGATGGCTACATAGCGATCATAGGACATAGCTGTGAGGATGAACACCTCAGCTCCAGCAAAGTGAATCACCAGCAACACCTGTAACACACATCCTGGCAAAGAAATGATGCTTTTGTTGGAAAGAGAGTTGAGGATGGATTTGGGGACTATGATGGAAATGAGACAGAGATCAAAGAAGGACAAGTTCTTAAGGAAAAAGTACATGGGGGTATGAAGACACTGGTCCAGGGTAACAAGGATAATAATGAGAAGATTTCCCATTAGAGTCACCAAGTATACGAGTAAAAACAGAAAGGCGTGCAGGATCCGGAACTCCTTGGTGTGCGAGAATTCCATGAGAAAAAATTCCATCACCACCGTGTAATTTGCCATGTTCTTGAATATATTGTATTTCCTATGGGATAAAGGAATTTAGTAATATCAACAAGTTTCCCTGAATTAAGTTACATCAGCAAGTTAGAATGCACCTGTACTTTTCTGAAAACTCTCCATATACTTTTATTTTAGAAAAATCCCCATTTTGTCAGTTGTCAATGTAAAAAGGTATGACTTTTAAGTGAAACAATATATTTTACTTCCCTCTCTTCAAATGATAAAGAGTGGTGATATTATTTATTTTGTTTTGGCATGTAAATTGAAAAATTTAATCTTATAAAAATTGTTTATACTTAGAATTGATTCATATTATGTAATACAAAATGACAATTCACATTTTATTTTGTGTAAGTTAATTCAATAAAAATGAACTATTGTTTATCAGTCATATAATGCAGAACATTTGCTTTGTAGGAAGGTGTTTTAAATGCAAATACATAGGATTGATATTTGCATTACAAAGCAATACAGAAATTGAGAATGTAGTAATAATGAATAGAGAGAATTTATATTTGTTACTGCAAACTTCAATAAAAGCAATGAGAAGAAAATGGTTCATTAGCTAAGAGGGTAATAATAAAATCCATCTTCTATCATTTGCTCTAAGGAGAAAATTAGGTAGATAACAAAATAGAGACAAAAAAGATATATTAGAAATGTAATTGTTATGGGAAATGAAAAATAGGAATAAAATGAAAAATAAAAAATAAAAATAAAATTATTAATGAGAGGTAAAAAGCCTGCATTTTTAATTCTAGCAGACATATCTACACTTAAACAAACCCATCCCATATATCTAATCACTATACTCACTCTGTATCATGTACATTTGAAGTAAGTCTGAAGAGAATATGTATTTACTACAAAGAGGAAAGTCATATAATGTATTGTTGTTAGTTGGCATAGAGTTTTATTCACTATGTAAAGTGAAAAAGAGAAGAACCCTCTAGGAGATGATTTGACACAGTGTCTGCAACAACAAATTCTTAACTGCAATAATTTTGAAGATGGCACAGGAACAAACATGGCTTCATTTTATTGTATATAGGATTGTTGTGAGTTGGAACCAACTCAACATCATCTAACAACCACATGTACAAAGAATGCATGGGTTCTTATTTCTGGAGAATTTGTAATTTCTCAATTTCTTGGAGATCAAATCAAATCAATCTTCTAGCACATTTGTTCCTACAGAATTGATGCTGTTGTTGATGTTGTTATGTGCCATTGAGTCGGACCGGACTCATAGCGACCCTTCCCTGGGTTTCCGAGGCAATATCACTACAGAAGTAGATTGCCCCATCTTCCTTCTGAGGAGTAGCTGGAGGGTTTGAACCACCAGCCTTCTGGTTAACAGTCAAGAGCCTTAGGCACTATGCTACCAGAACTCCCATAGAATTGATAAATATTCGAAATTGGGGAACTAGAATAAAACTTTAAAAACTGTCAATTCAAGGATCCTAAAATCTTAGTTAAGAAAATAATTCATCTTTTTACCACTTGCTTATTGATTGGTTTTCCATGGATCAACTTAAATGTAAAATATCAGCTGTATCTCTATAGCAGGAGTGAGTCTAAACCCAAAATAGATTTGATTGAACTTTTTTATTCAATAACTAATTATCTTCAATATTCTTTTTAAATTAATATGAGTGTGAGGACTGTGTGGAAACAACAGAATAACAGAGTTTTAGGAGAACAATATACAGTGTGTGGTTATAAAATGAAGGCTATTGAGAGTTTTTTGAAATTTCAAATGATGAGTTTTAAAATGGCACTCATAGTTTTGGATTTCTCACCAAATAGACGTCTTTAATTAGTATTTATCATGCATATATTGGTGGAAGAACACCCTCTAACAAGAGCCTGAGTTCTGCAACTTTGAAATAACCAGAATGGGATATTCAAATTCATTCAAAGATCAGCAGCTGCCCAAAATTATTTGAGTTAATTCATCAAGTAGTAGCTTAGGTAGAAGAGAAACAAACAAAAAACAAAGCACTGTAGAGTGACATTGTGTCAGCTTGTATTGTATCAATGTGGGCTTCTACAACCTGCATTTCTTTCCTCTTTACAAATATGCAGGTTTGGCTTGGATGCATTTTTTTCCCTTCCTTAAAATATTTTCCTGGGGTTGATGTTAGAACAATTTAGCTAATCTCCTCCTGCCTGGGTGATGCATCTTGACTTAAAAAAATAACTCCCAAGATCCTAGACACACAAATTTTTTCTACAGTCTATCTCTAAAAGGTCACACACAAGACTGGATACACACAGAAAGTTCAAATAAATGTGTGTAATCTAAAGACAGAACACAGTGAAGTCAAATTATGTAATAGAGTTAATATTGGACTAGAGAATTTGGTAAGCTTGGTTTTTCTCTTACGCAGCTTGTAACATCAGGAAATATGCTTTAATGTTATTACATTCAGTAACTTCAACTAAAAAAAAGAAAGTTGAGTCACATGATTTTAAAGGAATATCCATCTACAAAATTTCATAACTCTATGACTTAAACACTTATTAAAATACATTGTATACCATGTTTTTTTTTTTTCTAAATTATCTTTATATTTACAAATTTAATTAGATTTAGGTTCA